CATTAATGGTGAATTGGAACATTAAAAACTTTATTTTTTTGTTTGATAACTATCATAATAATGAACAACTTAAAAGAAAGACGTAAAAAAGAAATTATGAAGTTCAAGAGGCTGAACAACAAAGTTTGATTTTGGACAAATACCATCCTTACGAAAATGTACACATGGTAGAAAAATTACGTTAATATATTGAAATATGATATGCTATATTTGTGCTAAAACAATAAACCCAGACTCTCAAAATTTCAATGGTGTCACGTGCAAATATTACTACTATTTTAACTTTTGTGGAGGGGTAGAGAGTTTGTTAGGGAACCGCGGGAAGAGCATTTTTGGGACTGTCGGTCCATTTTCCTTTTATGTTCTGTTGAGAAGTTTTTTTTTATTTTTATTTTATCCTTTCAGTTATTTAATTGAAGAATAGGTACTAGGAACTTAAACAGAATAGAATGGTAAAAAATGGTCATAAATTCTATTGTAAATAATGGAAAATTTGTGCTCAGGTACATCAAAGTTTTATGGGCCTATTCATGGTTCAACTTTAATATTCTTTATTCAGTGTTTGTTTTTGAATTTTGTGGTATTAAACTAAATATAGTATCTAAATGTCTTTTAATCTTGTGATTTTTAAACAGTTCATGTGAACAATAATTATAGAGTTGTCAGTAAAGGAAAGAGATTATTTTTTTTTAAAATGAACTAAATAGGAAAATAATACAAACAAATTGAAACGGAGGGAGTGTATTTATTAGTTTTCTTCTTTCGGTTGGAGTGTGTTGGGAGTAACAGAATGAATATTGTATAGTGATTTGATGGCTCAAAATCTGAGTGTATTCTTATGGAATCCGTGAATAACGGCACGGGGTTTGGGTTGAATTATGCAAGTTGCAGATGACTGCATTAACTTTAGCTGGTCTTGCAATGTTGCTGTATTTCATGTGATTCAATCTGTTAGTCAAGTAATAATAAAGTAATACAAAACATTAATGCCTGACAAACCGATCCTACAACTCTGGATCTCATAATACATATTATATTTTTATATTCTTTTTTTAATTAGCCTTTTGGTGTTAAATATGGTTGTCATTGTCACTGCTATAGGAGGACATTAATAAATAATAAAATTTGCTTGTTCAACTTTTAAACAATTTTTTGAATGATTTACCGCGAAATGGTGGTCTTATTAATGTGCACATTTTGTATTCCTCTGTGACACTCAGTGAAACTACTGGACTGGGGGGAAGAGGGCCACAGAACAGATGCTGAAATAGCATCGCTAAGAGCAGCTTTTACGCAAGAAGTTTCAGTGTGGCATAAGCTTGACCATCCTAATGTTACTAAGGTGACACTCGAACTCTAACCTTTTTATGTGGGGAAGATTTAAGACTTCTTAGATGCTACTGCTTCTGCATGAAACATGCTTGCTCCTAACAAATCAAAGGGGCTAAAGATTTTGTGGTTCATTTAAAAATAATTTCTAACTTTTATTCAGCTTTAGTGTTTTCACTACTTTGCTAATAAAATGTCGACATGGTGCTGGTAGAGCAGTTCTGCAACGGATTAAGTATTCCAAATCATATCTAACTCAACATTTAGATGTAATTTAGAAAAAAGATACCTAATTAGTAATATTCAAATTTAAAGTAAGATAATATGTTTTTGATAACAAATATGAGGGATGGTGGGTTCTAAAGCAGGAAAGTAGATTGTGCTGGACAGACCAATTTAGCGTCTGGTTGTTGAAGTCACTAGTGAGAATATGGGCATAATTTTTAATGACCAAGCTAGATAGCAGGTTCTGATTAGTAGTATTGAGAACTTTGCGAGTCATGCTCTTGTGACCTCTTGAATATGAATGATGACAAGCTTTGTACCAAGGTGTTTGTTATCTGTGTGTCAGAAATTTGAGTGTTGCACTATTCTGTCAAATTGTTTAAGCTTTGCATAAGGTTTTCTTTTGAATTTAGTTCTATAACTTTGGCATAATGATGATGTTGAAGCACAAATCCAAGCAGTTGTCATTATAGGTATTAGTAGCTACTTATACTTGGTGAAGCAATCAACAGTGTGATACCTCCCATACAAGAGTAGAACAAAGGAATCATCTAATTCTATAAGCCGTGTAAATAGCAACATAATCCTTTGAGCTGATAATGTCGGTTGAGATGACTTTTCTATAATGACGATTGAGAAAATGCTGATCTTAGGAAACTTTTGACCAACAAGATTGATGGGGGAATTAGAATTTCATATCAACAAGGTTATTAACACTTAACAGTACAATACACAAGGCGCCACTACCTAACTTTTCAGTGAGAAAAGAGAAAAGGAATATTACATGTTAGGTCAACTTGAATGGATGTACCTTAAATTCCAACTATCAGGATGCTAGACTGTCAGGAAGTTGCAATAATGTCTTTTTGAATTTTGCCGAAATCCGAACAAGATGTAATTTGATTGTCAAGTTCTGCTCTCTGACAGTTGATGAACTTGAGCTATCTTTTCGTATGCAGAACACACATGTCTTAATTCTCAAAACATCTTTGTGAGGACAAAAGACATCATATGTGTTATTTCTGGTTTAAGCAAATGAAATACAAAATTCATTCATTCATTACAAGAGACCTTTATGGTGAAGGTGAAAGAATGATGCCTGAAGAACAGTTGAGGGTGATGAGGAGCAAGCCTGTATCTTCTGTTGGCTGTAACAAACAACTGCAGTTTCCATTTTTAGTTAATTTTACAGGCTGCTGTTTAGTATGATTTACTATGTGCCTCTGCTAGTTGGATGCCTAGTCTGTACTCTGTAGTGCCGTATTTCATGCACAACATAAAGACCACTGGATTATGGGAAACTTCATGTGTCCAAAGTCCTATCTCATATCTCAGCATAAGAACTGATTTTGCTTAGATGTACTCATATATTTCTAATAAACTGTTTATTTCACATAAAACATCTAATATATCTCTCCAATTTAATGCAGTTCATTGGGGCAACTATGGGATCTTCTGGGCTCAATATACAAACAGAAAATGGTCATATTGGCATGCCTAGTAACATATGCTGCGTTGTTGTGGAATACCTTCCGGGTGGTGCATTAAAATCTTACCTAATAAAGAACAGAAGAAGGAAGCTAGCATTCAAAGTTGTTGTGCAGATGGCACTTGATATGGCCAGAGGGTAATCGGAACTCTTGACTTTCTCATGTATTTCAAACGCCCCTGAAATATATATACCATTTATCTGAATAAAGGTCAAACATTTGAACTTTGTAGGTTAAGTTATCTTCACTCGCAAAAGATTGTGCATAGAGATGTCAAGACAGAGAATATGCTATTGGATAAGACACGTACAGTAAAAATTGCTGATTTTGGGGTTGCTCGCGTTGAGGCTTCTAATCCAAATGACATGACTGGGGAGACCGGAACCCTTGGATATATGGCTCCTGAGGTAATTTTGGAAGTGGAGAGGATTCACTTTTCCACACTATCCTTCATTCATGTCATTTTATCTGGCTGGTCTTTTTTTTTTTGTCCTTTAGATGGATTAACCAGATTCAGCTCATATAAAACTTTTTTCCCTTTTTTTCGCCAAGTTCAATTTTTCCTTTTGATCTGTATAACTATACATACTACAAAACACAAAGTTCAGCGTTAATTGTTCAAAATATGCTAAATATTCTCCATTTGCACTCTCCATCTTTCTAGCATCCTAAGAAGAGTAATGGGAGGGAGGGGTAGGAGAAGTAACCCCCCAAAATCCAGTCAATTGGTGAAGTGTTTCAAAAGACAGGGCAAGATAATGTTCAATAATGAAAACACTGAAAAGGAAGAGTAGTTGTACATAACATTCACTATTACTGAATTGTTGAATGCTAAAACTACAGGTTCTCAATGGCAATCCATACAATAGAAAATGTGATGTGTACAGTTTTGGCATATGCGTGTGGGAGATTTATTGTTGCGACATGCCATATCCTGACCTCAGCTTCTCAGAAGTTACTTCAGCTGTAGTTCGCCAGGTAAACTCTCCAGCATCCTAGCACTTCTTGGACATAAGTAATGACATATTAAGGCAGACATATAGATCAGAGAAGAATATACAGTTCTTGGTTTTGTATTTCGTATACGCTTTTTGTCACCTTATTTAACTGTGGTTTCTGTTGTGCCACACAGAATCTAAGGCCAGATATACCAAGGTGTTGCCCAAGTTCCCTTGCTAATGTAATGAAGAGATGCTGGGACGCTAACCCTGACAAACGGCCTGAGATGGACGAGGTAGTATCCATGATAGAAGCTATTGATACATCAAAAGGCGGAGGAATGATTCCCGTTGATCAACAACAGGGTTGTTTCTGTTTCCGAAGGCATAGAGGACCTTGAAGCAGCTTATAGCTCAAGCAGACATACAAAAGTAGGTAAATTTCATCTCAATTTCCAAATATTTGACAAAGGAAGTAAACTTGCAGAGCCACAATATTTGAACAGTTCTATTGAGATGCTATGCTGCATGCATTTTTCTCTTGGTTTGATGTAAAGCTTACACATTTCTGTTCTCTTTTTTTTCTTATATTATACATACTTCCAATCTTCTTCTTTTTTCCTTTTCTATTTGACTACTGATTTTTGTTTTAATCTAGTTACACTTTCTGTGTGTAGCAACAAAATAAGAAGCCAATATCAACTATGTACACAATAAATTAAATAGCTTAAACAGCAACTTATAAAAAAAATTACAAAGTGACCTGTCATAACATGTTAAGTCAAGCTGGTCCAATCAGTGCATCCACCTCAAATTCTAAATTCAAATAATTCAGAATTACATTTATTTTTTCTTTCCATTTTAGAGGTCAGTGGGAAAATAATCAATCTCCAACATAGCCATACAGTGACCCTATTTTAATGAAGAATCGAAAAAGCGCTGGGCTGACTTGGAGACCTGGAACCTTGGCTTAGTAATGAATGAAGGGAATCTCTTCGAGCTTCCTCTATCAGTGGCTTTAGACTGTGTCTGCGTTTCTTTGAAGTTCAATTTCATTTGGCTTTCCTTCATCGTCCCAATTGGTGGTTTTGTAATATTTTGCATAAAGGATGAGCTGAATTGCTCCAGATAACGTTCCCAGACCATTGGGTATCTATCATTAGTTTAGAAGTAAAAAAAAATACAGATTAATTCAAAATGTAATCTCACAAGCAGAGTCTGTCTGGGAATAAATAATAAGAGTGAGTATAATTAATTACCAGGATGTAAGGATCAAATTTGAGGAATGCATAGGCGAACCAAATACCTCCATTGCAAAAGTTTGCAAGTGAGAGGTAAAATGGCATGAATTTCACACTCTTGGTGCTGATCACTCGACGCTATATATGATTTATATTGTCAGTGTATATAACATAAATTCTATAACGTAATGTAAATCTTAGAAGGAAAGATTAATACCATGACGGTGAGGGGAGAAGCGTACATAGCAACATTCATAATGACAGCCAATATACCAACGAGCATTGATCTATTCTTGGTTCCATGAAGGAAAGTAAGCGTAACGAAAACGAGGATCGCAAAAAGGATTATTTCAACTCCCAAAAAAATAGAAATCTTCTTCTGTTAGACATATAAGAAAAACATGTTAGTTTAAATTACAATGGCGCAAGATTTTCACATCATAATCTTTTTTTATTTCATTTTTTCACCACGTGTCGAGTTTTATCTGACACGGATACGACATCATTTTTGAAGAGTTAGAGCAACATAGTAAATGAGTTGAGTATGTACGTACACGCTTTGGCCCATCGGAATAGATAAAGAAGACGATTATATATAAGAATTCAATAAAGAGACCAATGCCATTAATAGTAACAACAAGAAGACTGTCAGGATGAACAAATGGCATTCCATAAAACACCCAAACTGCACAATTCAATGCAGTTACAACGTAAGGATCTGGTTTGAATTGCATCACCGTCTTTGCTTTCCATATTTTTATGAACGTTGGCCTGTATGCATGCACACACCTCGATTAATTTAACTAAATTGATAAATAATTAATCATAATAGTTCACATTATGCCAAGGGGACTTACATGGGAGATAAAAAGAGGCAAAACGATATAACATTTCCTGCATGAAGAATTATTGAATGTTAAAAGATCGTTAATATAAAGAATTAATGAATAGTATGATAAGGCACTGACCGATAATTCCAACGATCGTCCGTATTGTATCTGTATTCATTTTGTCTAGATATCTGATTAATAGTGGAAGAGGAGATTAATAAGTAACTTCAAAACTAATTAAGCAAAGGAGTAAATTGGTGAATTTCAAGGCTAGAAGATCATATTTAATTTGTATATATGGGATTTGAAACCTCAGTGGTTGAAATTAAAACCCTTATATGTTGAATTATTTAAGGAAACACATGGAATTCTGGAAGTATTTATACATGACAAATAGGTGAGTTAATTTTGCTCAGTTGGTTACTAGTGAGAAAAAGTAGTAAGAGTTCAAGTGAAAATAGCTTATTTTGTTGCTATATACATGGAACTTTATCTACAAATTTAACCACAACCATGTGACTTTTCTTTGTTTGAGGATTTTGTGGTAATGCTAGTAAAGAGTGACCATATATTTATCCAAATATTTATCAACTAATTGATCTCATTAGCCGTAATTTATGGTCAGTACATCACTACTGGTAGTGAGCAGTGACATAAATTGTATAACTAGATTTAATTATTTTTTTTCTTCTCTTATTTTTCCATTATCGAAAGATCATAATTTAGGAGAAAGAGAGTTTGACTATAGAAAAAAATTCAAAATACTTTGATTTTTGTTCTCAAATTTTACAAAAGTTGTTGTATCAAATATAATGGTTATACCATATCTAATTCAAAATTAAACTTGAATTTAATTACAATTTTAATTACACCATCATTCTTAAACAGAGATCGTCGATTTGAGTCCTTAGGGTAGGAAATCGTCTTTGTTAGGGAGCATTTTACTCCACCCCACCCCAAGGTCTCCCATGTGGATATTGGATGGAAAAAAAACTAGGATCTCTTTGACAATGAATGGGAATTATTCTCCTCTTCCAATTATATTTTTAAAAGCTAAACATCTTCTCCAACTTCAAGCAATAAATATTCTTCCTCCTTTATTATAATATTTTAAACCTTTTAAATATCTTACTTTCCTCTAAATTACAACCAATCACTTTTTTATTTTTTCTAATATCATGATTTTGTTTTCTCTTTTTAATCTATAATAATTAAGGACTAACTTATCAAGCAAATAAAATCATCATTTATAGAGTAGTATTACTTACAAAAAAGTTGAAGGATTCATGTCAAATCCATGCAAAAAAAATTAAAATGTTTGTATGATTTTTGTAGTCTAAACTCCATATTCTCTGTGGGTGGTAACTATCAAAATTGTCTAACTCATCCCATTTGCCAGGGCATTTGTACAGTGCAATGATAAGCCTATAAGTAAAAGAAATCCCCTATTTTTTATTTATTTTTTATGTGAGGTTTGGTATCCGTATTAAAGTTTGATTAATTCAAATTCATACATTGCAAGATTCATTTCTGATGCGGCATGACACTCCTTAAGAAAAATCAAAATTTGAACCTGTAACTTCTGATTAAGAATAAATCGCGTATTATATATAGTGCATTCAAACATTACATTTATTCAGTTGAAATAATGCTTGTTGGGTTAAATTAACTTTCTTTACGCCAACTACATGATGGATCCTCGTGAACTTCCCCTTTTTATATATTACAATTTCCATTGAAAAAAATAATATAGTATTATCATTGAAACGAATATTATCTTGTTTTGACTATAATGTTAAAATAGCATATGATTAGTTGGACTAATAATTATATCTTGCAGTTGTGTAGAATCTTCTCCTATCTTTGTTAAGTTTCCATATTTTATTCATTAATTAAACGCCTGTATCTATCAGGTTATCAAAAAGTATGGTTATATAATTAAGAAAACTTATATATTTTTATTATTTAATTATAAGGTATGAAGAGAAAGCGTTGAAGAAATGTGTTACTAGTGATGTTGAACTTTCAACTTTTTCCGCTAGGATATATTGGTTTAATACGTAACAAGTGATTGAAACTATAGTTTGGGGGAAATTTTGGTTTTGGATAATTCAAAGAAGACACATCTCAAGTCAATAATACTCATTTCTTACACAAAATAGTATTACTATATGTTCAATTTTTACAAAAAGACGAGAGCCTCCAAACTCAATGTCAAATCTTATTTATCTAATTATGTAATGTGATAAAATTAGCCCATAAAAATTATATAGTTCGTATAAGTTGACTGGCATCAACCAATGAAAATCTTGTCTAAATATTTTTAAAAGATAATTTCTAATTTGATATTATATATATATATATATATATATATATATATATATAGCCAGAATAAAAAAAATGGTTTTATTAGATACTAAAAATAGTTATCAAAATCTATTAAAGCAAAAACTTAATGAAAATTAGATAGGGTGGATTATGACCCATAATATAGATAATTTCAGTCTTAGTAATTTTTGAACGGATCAATAACTGACTTATTTTATTTTGATTCGCTCAAATTCAACTCAATTCAAATTGACACTCTACAATGCGACTTACGAGTACCAACATGAACTAGGCGTTTCGAGAAACAGTATATGCAAATGTTGATACATTATTGCAAATCAATATTTGAATTAACCAATTTTTCCATTATTTTAATCAAACTTTGAAATATATGTTTGATGATTATTATCAAGTGAAATTATGGGTTTCACTCGAAGAGGTTTAATTAAATTTCTTTCAAGCAAAATATATTATCTAACAAAAATTGATGAACGGCGTTTACTCTCTTTTTTTTTTCTTTAATTTTAATGTTATATATATGTGTGGAGGTCTCACACATTTTCATTTTTTTCAACTTCAATCAAATATTGTCCCAACAAATCTAATATTTTAATAATATATATGTGTGGAGGTTTCACACACATAATGGGTGCGACTTTAATTCTCATTGTCCCACTACTCCCTTCCACTTCCTTAATCCCTCGGTACAGGAGTGCATCTAAATATATATATATTATAATATACAAACGTATTCATAATCAGAGGTCTCGAGCTTGAGTCTTTGAATATACGAAATTTTTTGTTGAAAGTGTCAGCTCAAATATAGTACGTAATTCAATTTTAGTCAAAACTTCTTTGTTTAAATTTTACATTGAAATAAGAAATTCACTTGATATATATAAATAATTTTGAATTTTGACTTCACCTATAACATAATGTAATGGTAGAAAATAATAGCCTCCCTTAGTATAACCATTATTGGTGCACCATACTATCATCACAACACATCACTCTCAAATAATAATAATATATTTAATATAATTTCATCCGATTAAATTTTAAAAATATGGGATATAGATAAATTTTACTTCAATAATAGACCTCGACAAAAAAGCTATAAATTAGGCCCATTTATGATTCACATTTCTGATACCTTAATAGAAGTACTAAACAAAAACACCAAAGTACGCCAGGCGTACTACAAATCAATTTACCTTCAAATTCTTATTTTCCTTTTTTCCCTAAGCGAGCAGCGTAATTTTGGATTCGCGCCGAACACAATAAATTCTTTGCTTTACTCTGTCAGAGCTTTTTCACCACCACATAAAACAAAAAACAGAAAAGGAAAAACTTTAAAAATCCCAAAGATGATGAGTAGTGTTAAGTGTGTATACTTCCAATAACTCAGACTCTTACTTCATGCTTTTCTTCTCTATTATTTCCCCTTCTAATTCTTATCGAAAAATTCAAAATCATGTTTCTCTATCCTTATTTCAACCAAGCTGCTACGTGTTATTGATCACATCAATTTAATTGAATTGCTCACTCTCTAGGTGTTTGCTAAAAAGAGTATGGTAATGGAAATTGTGGTCTCTGTTATGTTGCTGTTAGTTGGTATAGCAGTTTTGGTGTTCATTCATGTTTGTATAGTTGGGAGAGCTTTCACTAGCAGAAATGGAATCAACGGTACGATCTTTAACCAGATAAATGTGAACAGACATACAAGTATGTCACAAGAGGATATAAAGAAATTACCCTGTTTTGATTACAAAATGGAATCTACGAGCCCTGTGGATTGTGCTGTGTGTTTAGAGAATTTCAAAGTTGGTGAAAAGTGCAGACTACTACCAAAGTGCAATCACAGATTTCATGTTCAATGCATTGATTATTGGTTACAGAAAACAGCTATTTGTCCAATCTGCAGAGCAAGTGCTAAATCAATATTAGAAACAGAGGAACAAAGCAATGATGTTGCACTTGAAATGACTTAAAAGATACTACTAGTATTTATTTTTGTTTATCTGTTCTGTTGTGTTCTGGGAGAGAGCTAAAAAAGTGTTTTATTTACATCATAAATTATGGGGAAAATTAAGACAAAAGTTTTTTTCCAGATATTTCTTTCCATAGCCATGTAGTATGTATTATTTTATTTTTATTTTTCAAATTGTAATGATTTGTTTCATTAATGCTATCAGCTATTCAATTGCTTTTGTTATTTTCTCCTTCTAGAAATAAAAAAGACAGGGCCCGGAGAGAGTGACCTTCCCCATTAGTTGCCATTTGCCAAGAAAAAAAAATTTAAAAAGATATGTATGGTAGTGAATGAGGTTTTTTTTTTTTAATTAAAGATCTCGGTTTTGAGTTCTAGATATTAAAAAGTTTTAGATGAGAACTTGAAAAGTGTTTTTATATATCACAGAAATTAGATTAGTTGAACTCCAATACACATACAGAACACCAAATGAAAAAAAGAAGTTAAAAGACAATATTTATCCACATTTTGGCCTGCCTCATTAGTGTATAAGATTTTCACACTATCAAACTAGATAACTTACAACAACAAATAAATTTTAGTAGCAAGTCTGATACAGTTACATAAAAAGTAAGGAATAATGATTCTACACTATCCATATATGTTAACTTATAAATGCATATTCATTATCTAATCATATTTATTACTATATTATAATTGTATAATAATTTATCATTTAAACATGATAATTTGGTGTATACATCTAGTTGAGTTATTTTAGTCAAATATACAATCGACTAAATTGTTTGGAATAATGCTTTATCGAAGCAAGATATATGTGAGTCATGGATGAGAGAATTTTTGAAAGTAATATCGAATTTTTGGGAGCTTAAGATTAATAATCTAATCATTAGTTTTGTTGATCATACAATGAGGCATGATTGATTATCATAGCTTTCGTTCTAAGTGTGTCTAATGTCTGGAAATTGACAATAATTAGTTATTACTTGTAATAATAGGAAGATAAATTCATATCTATGTATTTACACTATGTGCGTGTGTGTTCGCTTATATGTTATTTCATTCATTTTCCATATCAGACTTGATCTAAAGAGTTAGGTGTTATAATGAATTAACTGAATTTGATGATATAAAAAGTAAATTTTCAACTCTCGCTTATTAACTTTTTTCAAAATTTCTATGAGAGAATTTCAAAAAATGATCAACATTGTGTTCAGCCCATTCTTTGCCCTTTAGAGAATTTGATGATGAAAATGGCCCAACTAAAATAAGGGGTTAGCTCTGTGTTGTGATGAGAAGAGGCCCATTTCTGATTATACTATGGAGCTAGTGGCTAATTCTGAAAAGGTAATAACAATACACATTAATTTTTAGGGAAAATTACTTATATACACACATTTACTTACCTTAATATCCATTTATCCCTACCTTTTTTTAAAATTTCAAAAATCCCTTAATTCTCCCAATACATAAAATCTTTCAGATACATAAATATTTCACTCATATTTTCAGCCTACACCCACGTTTCCCACTCCCCATTTCACTCCTCCATTTTATTCCTAAATTCTCTCCACTTCTTTAGCAGTTACAAATTTCAAATTCATTTTGATTTTCAGAAGATATCTCTCTCAAGTTTATCAATTAATCTATTTTTGAATTTCAAATCTTTTCTATTTCCAATTAATGATTTCAAATTATTCAAGAGGTAGATTTCTTTCCATCACTTCAATTTTTGATTTCTTTTATTATTATTTTTTAATATTTTCATCTTAAAAAATAAAAATAAAATTACCTCTGCCCCCTGCCCTCATTGAAATCTTATTGAACCTTTGTAATTTTAGTTAATCATATTGTCATTGAAAATTTTTCTTGAAAAATATTTATTTTCTTTTAATGTTTCTACTATTGAAAAACGTCCAAAAAAGAAGAAGAAAAAAGTTGGATCTGCCATAGCACGGCCATCACAATCAAAGATACAGATTTTTAATGTATCTCGTTTATTTTGAGTCTTAAATTAGTCTTTGTTAGTGTTATCATTGATCTAATACATCACTGCTACAATAACCTTTGTTTTATGCAATGTATAATGTTCATATGTAAGGTATTGATACATAACTCTAATGTTGTTGAATCTTTGATTAGTGTTTATCACGTTCAATAGAAAATGTACCTGATACATAAACTTTGTGTTATTTATCACACACACAAAAAAGAAGCTATTTTGAAACAATTACATGTATACTGTATTTTTTTATATTTTAAAATATAGTATTTCTCAAACAAAATAAGATACATAAATAATAATGTACCATACACTAATTTTTTAGTTATGATACGTAAATTCAAATTTATACTAAATATATCTGATACATAACAATTACCAAACAATAATGTATCAATCTCAAACTTAAAATCTTATAGGCAACACTTTCTTATTTAATGTATCTAGTAGAAATACAACACTTTAAATTGAAAGGATCTTCATGATCTCAAACAAAATAAGATACATAAATAATAATGTATCATGCACTAATTTTTTAGTTATGATACATAAATTTGAATTTATACTAAATGTATCTGATACATAACAATTACAAAATACTAATGTATCGATCTCAAACCTAAAATCTAATGGGCAACACTTTCTTATTTAATGTATCTAGTAGAAATACAATACTTATCAATTTAAATTGAAAGGACCTTCATGATGTATCTTCTCAAAAAATTTGATAATTTTGAATCAAAATTGAAAGAATCTTCAATGAACTAGGAGAATAATTTTGAAACTCGAAATTTTCAACAATTTTGAATCAAAACGGAAAGGATCTTCAATGAACTGGAGAAGAATTTTGAATGTCAAAATTTTCGACAATCTTGAATCAAATCGAAAGGATATTCGATGAACTTGAAGATTCACAAAAGAAATCGTTTGTCCAACAACAATTCCATCACTTTTGTGTCCTTCATAACTCACCTCGTTTATCCAAAATTTTGACAAAAAATTTTATGAAACAGAGAGAACGATGAACAAGAAGAAGAAATTTATTTTTTGAATTTTTTGGTTTGTTACACTATAGGATTTTGAATTCTTGACAATAATTTGGAATGGAATAACATAATTTATGGGATCTTAATTTGATTTTCAGCTATTTTTTCCCCTTAATTAGTGCAACAAATGGATACTATGAGATCTTAATTTGATTTTTCAGCTTTTTTTTCCTTAATAAGTGTAACAGATTGATACATAATGTATCAGCAATAATGTATCCGAATCCTTAATTATGTATCCGAAATGCCTAAAAATATGGGATTTATGTAATTACAAAAATAATAGGGATAGAAGGTAATTTAAGTTTTACACTATGATATTTATGTAAGTTATAATTTTTATGTAATCTTGTATAAATAATGGTGGTTAATTAATGTGTATTTCTATATCAACTTATCGTTTCATCATCGTAGTAAAGTTACGGTGTGATAAGATATATTTACACGCAAAAGTAGAAATCACAATTCGCAAGTTTGAACATTTTAAGATGTCTTTTTGTCTTCATCACATTGATATAAGAAGAATTGTAGCTTATAATATTGATAGTGTACTTTTTGAATATCTGAATCGTTATTTAAAACATCGAATTAATCCAATTCAATTCTATTTTAAAGATTAGTCAAATTGACTCTTGCGAAGCGAAACATGACAACTAATATGAGAGATGCGCAAGAAGTATATTTAAGTCAATAAACACCGTTGGGAAACTATACATACTATCATTTGTTTGTTTTGATATGCCTTGTATATCTTGTCGCAGTTTACCTTCTATTAAACATGAGATATGTTTTTGTTCGAGTTGATTCATAAGATGGTCACTCAACTAATAGTTTTTATTTCAAAAAATTATCGTTCTTCTTTTTCAACAATTTAAAGAAATTATTTTTTTGAGATATATAATGACTATTAATTGAGTGACTATCTCAAAAATCTACCCATATTTGCCTTGGCTTACAATGTCTTCTAGTTGTAAGTATAAGAGTTGAACAAGACAAATTTAATAAGTCGCCATAGTTGTATAAGAGATATACCGTCGCAAGACTGAAATCGACTCACTAAATATGTGCAATTGATTTAAATTAAATAGATTATCCATTTATGAAGAATAGTAATATTGACGTAAGAAAAATCTATTTCTAATAGATCGTTTTATTTTTTTTAAAAATCAAATATATATATGAAAACGTCCTTTGGCAGTTGCACTATTTCCCAACGACTTTTAAACATTATTTGGGGAAGTATCATTATTTTAAATTTTGGGTCAGGCTAATAACAAGATCATCTTGACCTAGCTAGAATTTGTGTTACAAGTTTGACTATTTCTTCCATGCTTATGATATTGAGTTAAATCTCGTAGCAAGTGCAATCCTTATGTTTAGTTAGGAATAACGTGACTCCTATTTCCTCGTTTAGGTTGCTTTCGAAAACGCAAACACAAGTGATATAGAATTATCCTCATATTGAGTTAAGTCCCGTAACTAGCATAATCCTTATGTTTTTGTTGGAAATCGCATGACTTATATCTTCTCCTCTCTTCTCGAAAGCTATACATAATACATCATCATAATCAGCTACCAATCAATTATTTTAGTAATATATCATATTATTATTATTATTATTATTATTATTATTATTATTATTATTATTATTATTATTATTATTATTATTATTATTGTTATTATTGTTATTATTATTATTATTATTATTATTATTATTATTATTATTATTATTATTATTATTATTATTATTATTATTAAAGATAGATAGCATTAATTAAAAGCAGAATAGTGTGGAAGCATGGTTGCCAACTTGCCATAGTACTAGTCACCATGCCTGGGCATTAACTCCGAAGAGATCTGCCACCAAATTAAAGTTTACAATTATATGCATGTTCCTTGCATCTTTATCTTGTGTTATTTTAATAATACATTCTAAAATAAAACAATATA